GTATGGTCCCACAAGTGGGGTCTGGGGAGGGTAGGATGTACGCAGCCTTACCCCTACCCTGGAAGGGCAGAAAGACTGTTTCCGATAGACCCTCGACTAAAGAAGGTGAGAGAAGCCCCGGTAGCAAGTAATAGAAAAACAATAATTAGAAAACTAAATCGGAGATAGCAACAGATAATATGAAAGGGGTACTGATAACATGTAGCAGCTAGATAACATATTTAGAAAACTAATTCCAAGGCAGCAGACAAGAATATGAACGAAGTATTGCTAGCAAACTACGGAATTACCAATGGCAAGTAACAACGAAACGAGACATGCGAATATAGAAAACTAAGGAAAAAAAGGGTGCCGAACTAGCGCTAATACTATCGAGCTAGAGAAGACAAAGGGAGATGCACGACTACCTACTAACCTTCTACCCTAATCTTCAACCTCCACACCCTTCTATCTAGAGTCATGTCCTCGGTTAGCTCAAGTAGCGCCATGTCCCGCCTGATCACTTCTCCCCAAGACTTCTTTGGCCTACCTCTACCCCTCCTCACACCTCCTAAGGCCAACCTCTCACATCTCCTGACAGGGGCATCTGCGCTTCTCCTCTTAACATGCCCGAACCACCTCAATCTTGCCTCACGCATCTTTGCCTCCACAGGGGCCACTCCCACCTTGTCTCGAATAACTTCATTCCTAATTCTATCCAACCTAGTATGCCCACACATCCATCTCAACATCCTCATTTCCGCTACCCTCATCTGCTGGACATGAGAGGTTTTGACTGACCACCACTCTGCCCCATACAACATAGTCGGTCTAACAACTACCTTGTAAAACTTACCCTTAAGTCTCAACGGCACATTTTTATCACACAAGACACCGGAAGCGAGCCTCCACTTCATCCACCCTGCTCCGATACGGTGTATGCCATCCTCATCTATCTTCCCATCCTTTTGAATTATAGATCCCAGATACTTGAAACTCTCTCTCCTGGAAATGACTTGCGTATCGTGTTTCACATCCCGTCCGCCTCCTAGGTAACACCGCTGAACTTGCACTCCAAGTATTCTGTCTTGGTCCTGCTCAACTTGAAACCCTTAGACTCTAGGGTATGTCTCCAGACCTCCAGCCTCTCATTAACGCCACCTCGCGTCTCATCAATCAGGACTATGTCCTCCGCAAATAGCAAGCATACAAATATTGAGGAAGATTGGAGGTGATTTGGACCGATTTGGTATCAAAATTCTTAGTTAAAATCGAGTTCAAAATTTTTTTCTGCGACACATGTATTACGCATGTATCACGCACACAAGTATATACGGATATACATATATGATACACAGTATGATCCACATATCATTTTTTCATGTTTCATCTTTTGCTTCGAATTTTCAATTCAAATCACCTTAAAACTCCACCAAATCATCTCAAAATCAAGATTCAAACTCCTTAAGATGTACCCAATCTATTCTAATAACACCCACTTATAAAAAGCAAAGACTATATATATAT